AAACTATCAGTGAACATGTAAACGGGCCTCAAGTGACTCTAGTTCCCTGAACACATGTCGAGGTAAAGATGTTTTCTTGGAAGAACTGGGGAGCCTGGAGGATTATTAAGGTTGGGTGAGTGGAGCATAGAACAATGAAAGATACTCACTGTTGTACCTGGGTTTCAGAGTACGTTACAAGAACAGGGTAGAGACCCACATACTGAAAGTAGATCACATGAGGAAGGAAAACTAGTAGCCAGAGTCACCCACAGCTGTATTTCCTGACTACTGAACCCAGACTCTTTAAATTCCTCTATCTGGAGACAGAGGTGGTTACTTGGCAGGGGGTGGAGGTGAGCCTGCAGATGAGTTTGGCAGCTTTCTCTGGGGAAGATGGAAGGATGAAGGAGTCAGGATATTATATTTTCCTTTGAGACTTTCCACCTTCAAATCTTTCATTAAGACAACTACTGAATTATCTTCTCTGGATCAGGCAGAATGCTAGTTAACAATTACAGGCCTATCCTTTGTTTAAGCAACAATTCCTGAATACCTATTTCATGATGGGAATGTGCTGGGGATTAAAGACCCTACCCGTAAGGGGTTCCTTTCATCGGTTATCATTCAGTCAAGGCTGGATTGGTTAGATGGGGCTAAGGAGGTGAAGCCTTAGATTAATCCTCTAGAAGTCAATTAGATTTAATCTGCTTCATTAACATAGAATTATGCTTCTAAACCTAGCCAGTCATCTCAAAAATGTATGTTATGAGTCAGTCAGTTGGTCTTCCTGATGTGAGAATATAGATGAATCACCCAGCTATCACCACTACTAGAAAAACAAGAAACCTCATTATCTGGCAGTGGGAGATCAATGGCAATGACTTTGCAAGTGAAAGGCAAAATGTCATATTGTTCCAAGCACTTGTAATCTTTTTGGAACGATCTTTTACACACACACACACACACACACACACACACACACACACACACACACACACAGTTATCGCTTGTGTGGTACACTGGTAGAGTGTTTACCTATTTCATGGATTACTTAATACATTATTATATATATCTCAATAAATAATATAATACAAATATATATTAAATAATAATAAATTATAGTAATAATATTCTTTTATACTTTTAAAAATGCTGCCCTTTCTTTAAGAGTCATATTATGTCACGAATCTAAATTCATGTACATAAGTAGTTTGGTATAAACTAAGGGACACCTAATTTAAACCCTGGAGCTCTTATATATACCTTTTATTAATGTTTTCTTTTGAATTCCTCTGACTTTTATATTCTAGAATAAAATGGCTCCTTCCTGTTGCATATTTAATACTTACAGACTCACACATTAGCCAGCTACAAATTACATAGCTAAGTGAGAATATACTGTCTCTAATGAATTTATTATCTGAAAATATTTTATTTTAATGAACATTTATTCTAACTTGTCATTCAAGGGCTATCTTACTCGTCACTGTGAATGACAGCTCTACATTAGCAACTTTTGATAGATATTATTATTACTGTTTTACGATCTCAGTTCAACCTTGTAATTGTACTGAGCATCTACTGTGAGCAAGGCCTTTTGCTAGGGTGGTGGTGGATTAGAGGGGCAGAGTCTCTGCCCCTGGTGGCGCAGTGGTTAAGAGCTCAGCTGCTATCAAAAGGTCAGCAGTTTGAATCCACCAGCTGCTCATCGGAAGCTCTATGGGGCAGTTCTACTCAGTCCTATAGAGTCGCTATGGGTTGGAATCAAATCAACGCCAACGAGTTTAGTCTCTGCCCTTAAGAAGTGTTCAGATGGATGGAGAGACAGATATACTCATCATAACTGGCCAGAGTTTAGGACAATCTGTGGGACTTGATCTAATAATTATAAGCAAAATGGGAGGTGAGTGCAGTGGAGAGAGTTGCTCGTTCTGGCTTTGGAGATGGATGAGGCCTTCACAGTGGAGCTTGCAGTTGGGTAGCTCCTTAATGACTCTGAGGTAGATAGGCTGGGAAGGGACAGAAAGGTCTTTCAGGCTGAGGTGAGAAAACACTTGTTTTCTTGGACTCATATTATTCTGGTGTAGTGGGTGGCAGGAGGTAAGGGCATTTGAGTAGGCATTGAGATGTAGGGTCTTCTGCAGGGCAGACATTTTTAATATTGATGAAGCCCAATTTATCATTTTTTTCATTTTATGGATCATGCTTTTGCTGTCAAGTCTAAAAATGCTTTACTTAGAGCTAGGTCCTGCAAATATTTTCCCATTTTTTTCTAAAAAATTATAGTTTTACATTTTACATTTAAGTTTATCAGCCATTTTGAGTTATTTTTTGTGTAATGTGTGAGGTTTAGGATTGTTTCATTTTTTTTTTTTGTCTATGGATGTCCAATTGCTACAGCCTCATTTATTGAGAAGGCTATCTTTCCTTCATTCAACTGCTTTGCACCTTTGTCAAAAATCAGTTGGATATATTTGTGTGGGTCTATTTCTGGGTTCTCTATTCTATTCCATTGGTCTATGTATTTATTCCTCTGCTAATACCACATTATCTTGATTGCTGTAACTAGAGAGTTAGCCTTAACACAGGTTAGAGAGTTTCCTTCCACTTTGTTTTTAAAATTGTTTTAGTTATTTTAGATCCTTTGCCTTTCAATGTGAATATTAGCATACGCTTGTTTATGTCTACAAAAAACCTTGCCAGGATTTTGATAAGCATTTCGTTAAACTTATAGATCGATTGGGAGAGAATTGACATCTTTACTATGTTGAGTCTTCCAATCCATGAGTATGCTATGCCTTTCCATTGATTTAGTTCTTTGATTTCATTCGTCAGCTTTCTGTAATTTTCAGTATATGGGTCCTGTACATATTTTGCTGAATTTGTTCCTAAGTATTTTATTTTTTATGGAGCAATTGTAAATGGTATTGTGTTTTTGATATGTTTTCACTGGTTTGTTTTTAGTATATAGAAATGCAATTGTTTTGGGTGTTGATTTGTGTCATGCAACCTTGCTAAACTTATTGTTAGTTCTAGGAGTTTTTTTTTTTTTTTTTGTAGATTTCTTGGGGATTTTTACATAGATGATCATGTCATCTGCAAATAGGAATTGTTTTATTTCTTCCTTTCCAATCTCTGTGCCTTTTGTTTCTTTTTCTTACCATACTGTGCTGACTAGAACTTCCAGTACTATGTTGAATAAGAGTGGTGAGGGTGGACATCTTTTCTATCCTCCTGATCTTAGGGAGAAAGCATTCAGTCTTTCACCATTAAGTATGATGTTAGTTGTAGGGTTTTTTGTAGAAGTTCTTTATTAAGTTGAGAAAGTTTGCTTGATTTCTCGTTTGCTGAGAGATTTTATCACGAATGGGTGTTGTTGTTAGGTGTAGTTGAGTCTAGTTCGACTCATAGTGACCCCATGTGACAGAGTAGAACTGCTCCATAGGGTTTCCTAGCTGTAATCTTTATGAGAGCAGATTGCCAGGTCATTCTCCTATGGAGCTGATGGGTGAGTTTGAACCGCCAACCTTTCAGTTAGCAGCTGAGCACTTAACAGTTCGCACCACATGGGTGTTGGAAGTCATCAAATGTTTTTCTGTGTCAATTAATATAATCGTATGCTTTTTCTTCTTTTATCTTTTTGATAATGGTGCATTACATTAATTGATTTTTGAATTTTGAACTAGTGTTGCTTATCTTGCATTAATTCCAGTTGGTTGTGGTGTATAATTTTTTATACATTACTGGGTTCAATTTGTTAATATTTTGCTGAAGATTTTTGCATCTAAGTTCATGAGAGATATTGGTTTGTACTTTCTTTTTTGTACTATCTTTGTCTGATTTTGGTGTGGGGTGATCCTGGCCTCATAAACTGAGTGGGGAAATGTTCCTTCCATTTGTATTTTCTAAGAGATTGTGTGAAATTGGTCTGAATTGTCTTTTTATTGGTAATTGATGCTCTGTTCCACTTATCTCTCATGGTTTAAGCATAAGCAAGCCAAAGCGCTTTCCTTTAAAAAATGCGGACTAGCTCTTACCCTTCTTATCTTACATGAGATTTTTCTAGGATGTGTGGGGATACAATCCGATTCCTTGCCTCTCCATTCTCAGATGCAAAGGTCCAATGCCTGGATATGGTCAGTCACTCAGCTGACCTTGGATAGCCTGGCCTCATGTATTCAAAATGCTGAGGTAAATCTGCATCTACAGGTGTAAGTCAAGAAGTTCATTTATCAAAACTTTGATCAACATTCTCTGGTCTCTACCCCTGCTACCTTGTCGGGTCGGCATTTACTATCGCACATTGTCAATGAGACTTAGAGCTCATCTACCACCAGTGAATAAAAAACAGGAGAGACATTGTATTTTCCTTCCTTCTGTCTCCATTTTGGAAATGGGAGGGATGGGCTCAGATGCTTATGTATCGTATCTTATATCATATCTATCTACACTCATATATAATATATATATTTGATATTATCCAGCTTAATTTCCTTGTTGAGCCTTCTTAACAAGATGATATATTTAAAGAGAAAATTTATTGTTGTTATCATTCAGCCAAATCCAACTGGTTTACATGAAGAACGGGAAGATTCAATTTCCTACTTCCTTCCTAAAGACAGATGGCCAGGGAATTTTTTTTTTTTTTTAATTTACATGGCTTTAGAGTGTGTTGAGTTCTGGGTGGTTCAAATGATTAATGTGCTCAGCTATTAACCAAAAGGTTGGCAGTTCAAATTCACCCAGAGACACCTTGGGAGAAAGTCCTGGTGATCTGCTTCCAAAAGGTTACAGCCTTTGAAAACCCTATGGAGCACAGTTCTACTCTGACAAACATGGCATCACCACCATGAGTTGGAGCCGACTCGATGGTGATGGGTATATTGGGGAGCTGAAAGGAGAAGGATCAAGACAGTGATCACTATTATTAGTAGTAATATTAAAGCTACTGGTTGTTGTTATGACTGGTAATCCATTTTTAGATTAACTTTCTTTTTTCCTCCATGTCTGTTTTGCAGGAGAGCCATGGATTACTACAGGAAAAACGCAGTTGTCATTCTGGCCACATTGTCTGTGTTTCTGCATCTCCTCCATTCCTTTCCTGATGGAGAGTTTACAATGCAGGGTTCGTGACCAAACCTGGTTTGCAGTAATAAAAACAACAGACATTGCTAGATGTACATCAATAACTTCATTAATTACATTTCTATCTCCTTTTCAAATGTGATAATAAATCTGTGCCTGCTGGATACATATCTAGGCACTTGTAGACTGTGAATATAAAATTAAATTAGGTTCAGAAAACGTACAGTGAGTGATATCTCATACGTCCATTTAAATAGCAGCTTGTACATTTTCATCTGAAATAGATTCCTTATTACTCTTTATCTGAGTTTTACAAGCAGAAAATGCCTTTTATTCAGTTGCCTCATTTTTTTACATTTCTCCCAAAAGACTTGAGAAGACTTTAACATTCCCTTTGTAGATGAATTTTCACATCACTTAACAAGTGAGAAAAACAAAACCATTTTATGCAGTAAATTTGTTTTGCTGTATTGTTTGAAAGAAAATCTCATATAGTAGCTGGTGTAATTCCATCTGCCGTGAAATTGTAAACCACTATTGGTTAGGGTTTTTCTCTAGCTAAGTGGTAATATTGTAATCCCAAGTCCCAAGTGCAGCTGCCAGATCTAATATCAGGTTCCCTGCACACACTGAGCATTCTTAATTCTGACATATTTTTCTCTGTCAATATTTGGAATTTCTATGGGGAAAAACAATAGCACAAACAAACGGGGAGAATATTTTGCCTCTGAGCAAAATTCTTCTCTCAGATGAGCACGGTGTTTTCCTCTGTCAAGTTTTGTGTTCCCTACAGGCATACTAATAACATTGGGATAGAGAATCCATGCTTGAGGAGAGAGAAACTACCACAACTGTGATTTCCCATGCATATCTGCAAACACTGTTTTCCATGTAAATAACTGTAAAAAATACAAATAGATTTATGTATGAAGATGAACCTATAGCAAAAAAGTATTTGTTTTCCATGGAAAAAAGAACATTTACCACCCTATACATAAGGAAATATTCATTATGAATATTTCTTTTTGAATCCTCTTTGGCTTATTTTGATCTTTGCCTTTTTAATGATAGGTTGCCCAGAATGCAAGCTAAAGGAAAACAAATACTTCTCTAAGCTGGGTGCCCCAATTTATCAATGCATGGGCTGCTGTTTCTCCAGAGCGTATCCCACTCCAGCGAGATCCAAGAAGACAATGTTGGTTCCAAAGAACATCACCTCAGAGGCCACATGCTGTGTGGCCAAAGCATTTACCAAGGTGAGAACTTAAACGATCCCAGTAGCTTTCAAACAGCCTAATCAGAGAAATGCCCGCAGAGTGCATCCGTGGGTTTTAATGCCAAAGGTGACCCATCCTTTGATGGGCATTTATATAGGGAGGGGCTGTATTTGTCCCTTTTAAGTAATAGAGTCTGCAGTCTTGTGGGTACAGGCTGGATTTATTCAGACTGAAGACAACGGGGTGGAGGTGAAGAGGGGAAGGTTGGGAGAGACTACACCATGTTTACACAATACAAACCTAGCCTTTTAGAGGGAAAATAACAGCTGAAACGGAGAGTATTTAAATGCAGTAAGCATCTGCTTAGTTCATCTGGCTACATACAGATATTTTGCATACATATGTATTTAATTTTGCGTATGTATATATTTTTCCTTCCTCTTTAGGCCACAGTAATGGGAAATGCCAAAGTGGAAAACCACACGGAGTGCCACTGCAGCACCTGCTATTATCACAAGTCTTAAATATTTTGCCGCGCTGTGTTGATGGCTGCTGATTTCCTGGAATGGAAGATTAAGTTGCTCTGTGTTTATTGCTTTGTGAAATAAAACCCTCCCTTTTCCTTCCCTTACCACTTTTGACACGCTTCAAGGATATACTGCAGCTTTATTGCCTTTCTCCTTATCCTACAGTATAATCAGCAGTCTAACTCTTTTCATTTGGAATAAAATACAGCTTTTAGCATGACCATAAAAAGCTGGTTCCATTGGAAATAAAGTCTTTTAAATCATCATTCAATCATTGAATCATACTTTCTTCTTAAAGGCTTAAAGCCAGTTGTTTTAATGGGATTAATTGTTGGGACTGAGTCAGTGGATGAGTTGGGGTCACATGCACTCAGTGACCTGACACTGGAGACATTGGTTCTCATCAACCCTTCTAGAAACAAACAGTGAATCCTTCCAGCCATGATCAAGACATCAGATGATCCTTTGGGGTGAAGGAAGAAAATATGAGAGCTTCTATTCATTACATAGATTATACAATTTATAAGTAAATAATCATGCATATGTTGGGGATGTTTGGTCAGTAAATTCTCACTGGTAGAAAAGTTCAATTGCGGAAAAATTTGGAGAACACTGCTCTAGGGTTTGGGAAAAAGAGAAGCCTTCCTTGCCTGAAGTTTCTATCCACTTGGGTTATGTCTGGCTAAAAGAAAGTGCATCTTATTAGTTGCTGCAAACCCGGCTGTAAGTGATTGGTGAATAAGGAAAGAACATCATTGTCCTCAAATAAAACTGGGCTCACTTCGAACTTCTGGAGGCATCAGATCTTACATCCCACATTCAGGTCTAGACGGGAATGAATAAGCGATGAGCAAAGTATTTGTTGAGCACTCACTGTGTGCTAGGTGGAGCGGAAGGACTTTTACTAAGTTACTAAGTCTGTCTCACAACTTCCTCCTCAACAAGGAAGTCTGTCAGTAATTTAACTAGGAGCCATTGTCTATGGGCTGTAGGGTGAGTTTAAGGGATCCAGGATCTGGTGTGTCTAGGGAATGTAGCGGAGCACTGGCTAAGCCAAGGAAATGAGACACAGAGTAGACATGGGGGTAGTGAGAGCTGTCCTCTGTAGTAAGATGTAAGATTTCAGAGCCTGGTCTTAGCACTCTACCTTGTGTTCTCAGGAGCAAGCAATGTATTTTAACACTTACGTGGGTTTTTCCAAGCCTAGTGAATCCATGAGTACTCCTACCTGGCTGTATTAGTTTCCTATTGCTGCTGGAACAAATTACCTCAAACTTCATGGCTTAAAATAGCACTAATTTATTATTTTACACTTCTGGAGGTCAGAAGCCCAAAATGGGTTTTGCAGGACTAAAAGTAAGGTGTTGACAGGGCTGGCTCCTTCTGGAGGTTCTGAGGGGAGAATCCATTTCCTTGTCTTTTCCAGCTTCTTGAGGCAGCCTTCATTCCTTGGGTCATGGCTCCTTCCTGACATCACTCCAACCTCTTGCTTCCAATGTCATATCTCCTACTACTGATTCTAATTCTCCCTCCTCTTTCTTATAAGGATCCTTGTGATTATATTTGGCCCACCCATATAATCCAGGATAATTTTCTTATCTCAAAATCCTTAACTTAATCACATCTGCAAAGTCCCTTTTACTATGCAAGGCAATATATTCACAAATTCTAGGGATTAGGGTGTGGACATCTTTGGAGCTAGTGTTCAGCTTACCTTGCTAACTTTTTACTGAGATGGCTTCCACTAAAAAAAATGCATGCTAGTATAAGACAGAAGTTAAGATTACCTGTAGAAAACCCCAATAAGCTAAGACCTTGTTTTGACCCCTAATTAATCTAGTTCTTTGAACATTCATGTGGAGTGACTGTGACCATAAATCTCAGACTGTCCATAGGGAAAATGACATTTTTGTACAAGTCTAGAGTATGAGTTCTAATCTGGGTTCTGCCATTCACTGGCTGTGTGGCCTTGAACCAGTTAATCCTCTTCACTGGGCTCACCCCAGTGTCCTCACGTATCAAGAAGGGTATGGGCTTGATAAGCTTTGAGATTATTTTCAGGCTCTGACTTGTCTGACTCTGTGATTGTAATAACGTTACTGCTGCTTTTTGCTATTCTCAGCCAACCTCAGACCAAGGCCAGACACTAGGCTGTTTCCTAGAGAGGTTCTGTAAAGATTTGAGCTTGACAAGAGTTGTCCAAATAAGAAATCCTGTTGGTTTTAGTGTCAGGGTGAAAAATTAAAATAAAAATGGTGCATATACTTTTTAAGAAACACTAAAATATACACAGAGACATTCCTTCATTTGTTCATTTATTTATTATACATATATTAAATGTCTAGTAAGTGCTGGAACTTTGTTAGATCACAGGGATTCAAATATGTCAAGATTCTCTGGAAGATAAGATTAAGAAAATACGAGGGTAAGTCAAAAAATATTGCTACAAAATCAAAGAAAACTTTATTAAACAAACACATCGAAATGTGAAGCTATTGTTTCTTGACATATCTTCCAGCTAGGACTATACACTTCTGCAGGCTATGTTTCCGTCTCTCTAACCCTTCCCTGAAGAATTCTGTGCCCTTCGATTTACACCAGTCAAAACTTCAGTTTTGGCATCCTCTAGGGACTAAAATTGTGTTCCTTTTAAATGTTGAGTTTTGGAACAAAAAGAAATCTGAAGGGGCAAGATCAGGGCTGTAGGGTGGACAGCGTAAGGTTTCCCAAAGAAATTCCTGTAGGACAGCCCTTGCTACCCTCGAAGAATGAGCAGGTACGTTGTTGTGATGGAAAAAAATTCCTCGGTGCAGCTTCCCTGAACTTTTTCTCACCAATTCAGTTTTCAATTTTCTTAAAACTTCTTCAGAACAAGCCCCCATAATATTCTTGTGTCCTTCGAGAAACTCCATCAAGATTACCCCTTTGGAATCCCAAAAAACAGTTGCCATAACCATCTGAGCGATCTTCCCGCTCTTGGCTCATCTTTGAGGTCTTCCCGACCTTCCTTAAAACACTTGATCCATCTAAAAACCGCTGTTTTATGTGGGGCAGCATTCCCATAAACTTGTTGCAAAGCTTCAATGATTTGAAAAGATGTCTACTTGAGTTTTATTAAAAATTTGATATTAGTCCTGACCTCAAAATCATTTTTTTCCATGGCACAAAAAATATCCGTTTCTTTATTTGAAGGCACCCTAAGGAGACTAAGATAAGTGTATTACTGAGAGAACTTGTCTGCAGCCATCCACTGATCACAGAGGCACTTTTAAAAATGTTTTGTTTGGAATAAACCTGTGCATGTATGAACCCTAGTAGCAATACTTTTTGACTTACCATCGTATAATGCAGCTTTATCTAAGAGAATATGGTGCTGATCATGGCCCATTCACACATTCAACACATATTTAATGAGGGCCGACTACATGTCAGTTCTTCAGGGCTTGTTGGGAGGGCTCAGAAGGAGAGGAAAGCTACAGACATATCCTTGAATAGAATGTCCTTGTCAGTGTGAGATAATCCTATTTGACACAGAGGGTGGAAGGGACGTGTGAGGAGTAATGACAGAGGAAGAGGATATCCCCAAGGTCCTCCAGAACAGTCAAATTAACCTCAGTGATCACTAGGGTGAAATGTCATAGCCATACTGATCTCCCATCATACTATGTGCCAGATCCTGGGAAAGCCAAGACAAATAAGTCACAGACCCTGCCCTCAAGCAATTCAGAGTTTTGTGGGGGGAGAGAGCATAACCCAAGAACACCAAGATAGTGAGATATATAATATGAGAGAAGCATGAACTATGGTGGCACAAACAGAAGAAAGGTCAACTTGGCTCCCTTGGGGTTCGTCATGGTCAGCTTCAGGAGGTGATACTTGTGCTGGGTCTAGATGACAAGTAGATAGATGGGGGAGGGCTGCATTCTAGTTTGAGGAAATAGCATAAACAAATGTCCTGAGATGGGAAACAGTATGATGGTCACATAATTGCAAAAAGTTCAGTGTGACTGGATTGTAGGCAGCTCAATGGAGAACTGGAGCTTCAGAGACACACAGATATCAAGAAGGTCTTCGGATGACATGCGGATTTCAGCCTAGGATCCTAGCTTCTCAAAATGGAGGCTTGAAGGTTCTTAAAGCCACAAGATAATCATGACCCACCTTTCTGCAGGATGGATTTTACTCGAAGATTTGGGGAAATACTATTTTTATTTCAAAACAAAAGTTGATGCATTATAGAACAGAATGTAAAATTACCAACAATGGGATTACAAGTTGTAACTCAGAAAGAAACTTCATGCTGAGGGTGGGACCTTCTGTATCCTGTCCTCCCAACCCCTCCCAAACCTCATGGCAGCCTGTTCCATTATGAGTTTGAGAAGTTCTATTAAAGGAATAATATGCTCAGCTTTGCAATTTAGAAAAAGTATTCTGGCAGTAAGTAATAGATAATTTGAAAAAGTAGAGATAGGACCTAGGGTCATTAGTTATGGACCTTTGCAATTGTCTTGGCAAGAGATGGTAATGCTAACCAACAGTGAGAATAAGAATAGGAGGGACAGACGTGAGAGGACTTAGGAGGAAAGAAGGGATGATTGTGGATGTGATTTCCTAGTTTTTGGGTGGCTGGTGGATGATTGTGCCAATAACTGGAATAAGGAAAATGTTTGTGGGACAGCAGAGAGGGCAGACCTACCGAGTTGAGGTAAGTAAGGATACTAGGTGAACATTTCTGATAGGCAGTGTGCACAGTGATATGGAGCTTCAGGAAGGACTCCAGCCTGGAGGCAGGTCTGAGGGTCATCAGTGGTAGGTAGTATCAAAACCACAAGGGTGGCTAGGATTGCTCAGGAGGGCGAGGAAAAGTAGATGCTAAGGGTAGATTCTAGACCAACTGGCTGAGAAAATGGTCATTAGGGCTTTTGGAACAGTTAATTTGAAAGCTCTGATATCAGTCCCCTAAAGAGAAGATTGTAATCTTAGATATATAAGCATCAAGGAAGAAGAAAGGCAGGTACGGACGTTGGCAATTTTGTTTAAGTCCATCTGTAAAAAATGCCTAAAAGAAGTATCATGTACTAGAGACAGAGTAAGCGCATGTTTGAGGGGGGCTGTTATAAAAATTTTCTAGATCATTCACCTCAACCAGAGA